CCAACTAAAAAAAAAAAAAAAAAAATTTGTTGTAGAGATGAGGTCTCACCAAGTTGCCCAGGCTGATCTTGAACCCCTGGACTCTGGCGATTTTCTCACATCTACCTCCCAAAGTGCTGGGATTACAGTTGTATGCCTGGTTGCCCCTTTGCATTCTTAAAGAAAAGATCTGTTTGAGAACCATAAAGAATAGTTGAGCTAAACTCACAAAACCTCCAGCTGTGGATTCATTTAAGTATAGAAATGCCTAGTGTGTTGAGAAATGGCCTGCAGTCTAGAATATTACTCCCAAATGTGAGTCTGGTGCAGCCGTACACCTCGTTACTGATAGTTTTCTGGAGCAGTTAGATTGGAAAGCTAATATATTAACTCAGTCACAATTCCAGACGTGAATTGACATCTTTGCAAATTCTGTCTCTGAATGCTGCAACGTTGTCATATATGTGCATTACTATATTTTGCTTGAAAATGAATATGTGAGGCAAGGAGAGAAAGTTAATTGAGATAATTGTCTGATGTTGACTGTGCAATGTTGTTATTGATTTATGTAGTGGGTAAAAATTGCAAGTTGGTCATTATTTTCTTGCAATTAGTATTGTATACTTGTATTTTGATATTTCAGGACTTTTATACTTCAACGTTAAAAATAATTTACCATAATTATGGAAAATGAAGAAATATATGCTGATGAGATTTCCAAGGTCGAAGGTGAATCCAGTGAACTTATTAGTGATAGTGAGACACACAGTGATGTAATGATGCAATGTAAATGAAGAAATATATATATAATATATATTCGGTTTATAATCTAAATAAAAATACCAATTACAGAATGCTAGAGTGGTGTCTGAGGCAAACACTGGATATGTCTGCAACTTTCAGCTGTATTGTGAAGAAGGTAACAATTTAGAAAAGACCCTTTCACTTGTGCTTAATGACAAGTTTGTGGCAACCAGCTTCAGATTTTTAAAAAATTTTCACCTGCTTTCAGTATTAGGAAAGTGAAAAATTTGTCTATTGCGAATGTGTTAATTAGTGGGTTTTTTTTTGAGTTGGAATCACTCTGTTGCCCAGACTGGAGTGCATTGGCACACTCATGGCCATCCCCATGTCGCTCTGCTGGGCTCCGGCGATCCTTCTGCCTCAGCCTTCCAAGTAGCCAGAACTATAGGTGCACGCTATCATGCCCGGCTAATTTTTTTTTTTTTTTTGAGTTGAAGTCTCACTCTGACACCCAGACTGGAGTGCGGTGGCCGCTCCCAGCCACCACAGCCTCGACCTGTTGGGCTCCGGCGATCCTTCCGCCTCAGCCTTCCAAGTAGCTAGAACTACAGGCGTGTGTGCTACCACGCCTGGCTAATTTTTTGATATATTGTAGAGATGAGGTCTCGCCAAGTTGCCCAGGCGGGTCTCGAACCCGTGGACTCAGGCAATTTACTCACCTCGGCCTCCCAAAGGCACGGGATTACAGGCTGAGCCACCGAGGCCGGCCTTTCTTTTTTTTTTTTTTTTTTTTTTTAATTGTAGAGATGAGGTCTCAAAGTTGCCCAGGCTGATCCTGAACTTGCAGCCTCAGGCAATCCACTTGCCTCGGCCTCCCAAAGTGCTGAGATTATTGGCTGAGCCACCAAGCCCATCCTATCAGTTGTTGAATAGAGAGTAGCTGATTTAGAGGAAGCTTGGGAGCCATAATTGGTGAAGAATCAGATATGGACTACTTTAGAGTGAGAGAAGGTATAAACAAGCAGAAGTGGTTTGGAGCTGGAGGACGTGCACGCAGCCACAGGGCAGAGGTGAGCTTGAGGCCTTCCGGACATCGTCAGACCACCTTCTGAATGAGCAAGCCATTACCAACTCGCCAGCCCAGTGGGGGTCACTTCATTTTATTTCTGGCCACAAGCCGGGAGAGGAACTGCAACTTTAAAATAAAGGGGTCGTTTGTTTTGGGGTCTGAGTGTACAGCATGTTTTATCGATGTATCTTGCTTTACTCTCCAGCCAGCTTTTGTGGCAACATCAATTTGTTCCCACAGGTGAACTGTGAGACAGATTTTGTTTCCAGAAATTTAAAATTTCAGCAGTTGGTACAGCAAGTAGCCCTTGGAACCATGTTGTATTGTCAGAGCCTAAAAGATCAACTTCCCACATACAGTAAGGTGAGTTGGGGGTTTTCTCTGGCATGCTGAATTTATTCTCTCTTAGGATCTGTTCTTCCTTGTTTAGATATTTTCATGTCTCATTCTCTTCCTTCACATCTCTTCTTTTTTTTGAGTCTGGGTTTCGCTCTGTTGTTCAGGATGGAGTGCAGTAGCATGGTCATTGCTCACCACTGCCTCAACCTCCTGGACTCAGGCAGTTCTTCTGAGTAGCGGAGACTACAGGCGTGTGCTGCCATACCTGGCTACTTTTTTTTAATTTTTATGGAGATAGAGTCTCACTATGTTGCCTAGGCTGGTCTGAAACTCCTGGCCTTAAGCAGTCCTCCTGCCAAAGCCTCCAAAGATGTGAGACACTGTGCCCAGCCTTCACATCTCTGCTTAAATACTGTCTTTTTAGACAGAAGTGTCTTTCCTCCTATTACTCTGTCCCCTCCGTGATTCTGCTTCATTTAACATTTTTTATCACAGTGTTTTGTTTTGTTTTGTTTTGTTTTGTTTTGAGTTGGAGCCTCGCTCTGTTGCCCAGGCTGGAGTGCAGTGGCATGCTCCCAGCCACCGCAGCCTCAACCTGCTGGGCTCCAGCAATCCTTCCACCTCAGCCTTCCAAGTAGCCGGAACTACAGGCGTACGCTACCACACTTGGCTAATTTTTATTTATTGTAGAGTTGAGGTCTCGCCAAGTTGCCCGGGTGGGTCTTGAACCCGTGGGCTCAGGCAATCCACTTGCCTCAGCCTCCCAAAGTGCTGGGTTTATAGACTAAGCCACCGAGTCCGGCCCATAGTGCTTATATTACGTTGTTATTTACTTGCATGTTGTCTGACTTCCCTAGTAGAATGTAAGCTTTGTGAGGTAGAGAGTTTGTCTTTTCACTACTGTATTTTGCTGAAAGAGAATTGGGCCCAGTACTTAGTTGGAGCTTAATCTTTGCTGAATAAATGAATGAGTGAACGACTGTGGGGTGGAGTCAGCCAAATCACGTGAAGGCTTAGAGTTCAGAAATCTGGAGTGGCCTGAGGAAAGGATTTTTAAACAGAGAAATTAGACAAAGGACAGCTGAGGAGAGAAACTTGTTCTTGTCTGTAGGAATTACATCATTCTCCCTCTGAGTCAACCTTATTGTCAAGGCAAACATGAAACAACAACCACTCAGAGCATTTTTTTTTTTTTTTAGTTGGAGTCTTACTCTGTATCCAGGCTGGAGTGCAGTGGCACGCTCATGGCCACTGCAGCCTTGACCTGCTGGGCTCAGGAGGTCCTTCCATCTCAGCCTTCCAAGTAGCTGGAACTTCAAGCACATGCCATCACGCCTGGCTAGTTTTTTTAAATTTATTTTAGAGACAAGGTCTCACCAAGTTGCCCAGGCTGGTCTTGAACCCCTGGGCTCAGGCAATCCTCTCGTCTTGGCCTCCTTGCTGGGATTACAGGCATGAGCCACTGCACCCGGCCTTTTTGTTGTTGTTGTTGAGTCGGCATTTCATTCTCACCCAGGCTGGAGTACAGTAGCACAATCACAGCTCACTGCAGCCTTGACCTCCTGGGCTCAGGTGATCCTTCTGCCTTAGCCTCCCAACTAACTGGGACTACAGGTGCCTGCCACCATGCCTTGCTATTTTTAAATTTTTTTTGTAGTGACGAGGTCACACCATGTTGCTCAGGCTGACCTCAAGCAATCTTCCTGCCTCGGCCTCCCAAAGTGCTGGCATTACAGGTGTGAGCTACTGAGCCCAGCATTTTTTCTTCTTATTTATTTTTTTCTTCAAAGATTGCTTGGTGAGTGTTAATTATTACTGGCATTGAATAGTCATACTATGTGAGAAACAGTGTTGAGATTATTTTTTAGAATTTTTCTGAGCAAATGAGTCACTTAAACTAGAAATCGTGGCTTTGATCTTGCCAGTTAACTCCTGTCGTCTTTATCTAGATTCGCCATTTGTTACCGCTTGGCTGTGTTGGCTTCATCCCTTTTTTGTATACATGTTACTGTGGTCACTCTTTTTGTCCTTTTGTGAGTATGTTGCAGACATCAGGATCTTTTATTCCCTCATCATGTGTCTCCTAAACACAAAGACAATCTCTTATTTAACCGCAGTACAGTGATCACATTTAGGATATATATACTTTTTTGCTCATAAAAGATGCCAACTTAGGGAATTTTAACAATGATACAGTATTTTTATTTATATTTTAAATTTATTTAAATTAAATTTATATTTTCCAATTAGCAATTTTTCTTGTGATCTGGGATCCTTTCCAGTATAATATGTTGCATTTAGTGTCAGGCTTATTTTTATTTATTTATTTTTTTAGACATGGGGGTCTCAGTATGTTGCTCAGACTGGTCTTGAGCTCCTGAGCTCGAGTGATCCTCCCACCTTGGCTTCCCAAAGTACTGGAATTACAGGCATGAGCCACCATACCCAGTATCATGTCTGTTTAGTCTCCTATGTTCTTCAGCCTTTATTTCTGTTTTATTATGTTGACATTTTGTAAAATTACAGGATAGTTCTGTTGAATGTCTTTTAGTTTGGTTTTGCCTGATGTTTCTTTTCTTTTGAGTTGAGGTCTCACTTTGCTGCCCAGGCTAGAGTGCAGTGACATGCTCATGGTTCATTGCAACCTCATTCTCCTGGACTCTCAGCCTCCTGAGTAGCTGGGACTACAGATGCACATACCACCATGCATGGCTAGTTTTTTTAAAAAAATGTTTTATAGAGACGAGGTCTCCCTTTGTTGCCTAGGCTGGTCTCAAACTCCTGGGTTCAAGTAATCCTCCTGCCTCCACCTCTCAAAGTTCTGGGATTACAGGTGCGAGCCACTGCTTCTGGCCCGATGTTTCTTCATAATTAGACACAGAATATAGATTTTTTATTTTTTTATTTTTATTTTTTTTAAGTTGGAGTCTCACTCTGTCACCCAGACTGGAGTGTAGTGGCTGCTCCCGGCTGTTGCAGCCTCAACCTGCTGGGCTCCGGCAGTCCTTCTGCCTCAGCCTTCCAAGCAGCCAGAACTATAGGCGCGTGCTACCATGCCCAGCTAGTTTTGATTTATTGTAGAGATGAGGTCTTGCCAAGTTGCCCAGGCGGGTCTCGAACACTTGGGCTCAGGCAGTCCACTCATCTTGGCCTCCCAAAGTGCTGGGATTACAGGCTGAGCCACCGAGCCTGGCCAGAATATAGATTTTTGTTGGAATATTAAACAGTACTTTTCACCAGGTGTGGTGGCTCATGCCTATAATCCCAGCACTTTGGGAGGCCAAGGTGAGAGGACTGCCTCAGTCCACGGATTTGAGATCAGCCTGGGCAACTTGATGAGACCTCATCTCTCCAATAAATCAACAAATTAACCGGGCATGGTGGCGTGTGCCTGTATTTCCAGCAACTTAGAAGGCTGAGACGGAAGGATCTCCTGAGCCCAGTAGGTGGAGGCTGCAGTGGCCATGAGGATGCCACTGCGCTCCAGCCTGGGTGACAGAGTGAGACTCCAACTCAAAAAAAGAAAGAAAGAAAACTAACAAACAAAAAAAACAGTTTTTTTCTCAGGACATCATACTAGGAGGCACATGATGACTGTTGGTCCTATTGTTGATGATGTTAACTTTGATCTCTTTATTAAGGTAGCATTTGAAAGGTTTCTCTGCTATAAAGTTGCCAGGTTCTTCATTGTAATTAACAAGTCATCTGTATGGGAGATTCTTGGAGACTGAACATCCAGTGCCCTAAAGGCTTTTGCCTAATGCTAGTTTAATCCACAGATGAGTCTTATCAGGATCATTTATTACTATGAAAATTGCATAATGGTTTTTCTCTTGACATGTGTTAGTTTTATTACTTGGTATTCTATTGTTAGAAAGACGTTTCCCTTCTTCCCCTTTATTTAGTATTAATGTTGACTCATGGGTTCTTATTTTGTACAGTGGGTTATAATTCATTGTCTAGATCATTATTCATTTGGATACTCAAGTTATCTGTGGATTTGACCACTTCAAGCTGATCCTGTGCAAGCTGACTAGTGTCCTTTTGCTGTGTCCTTACCATTTTCCGAGTATTTTCTTACTTTTTGGCATAAGAAGATATTTTGGGTTTATGTCATATTTCTTTTCCCCAACCTTGGAATGGGCCACTTTTTCAAGGAGTCCTTGTCCCTTTTAGTTGGGGGAGTGGTCTTTTTTTTCTTCTTTTTTTTTCAGAGTCTCACTCTGTTACCAAGGCTGGAGTGCAGTGGTATGCTCATGGCCAATGCAGCCTCAACCTGCTGGGCACAGGCGATCCTTCTACCTTGGGAGTGGTTTTTAGAAATCAGGATTTGGGCATTGGGCATGCTACTGAGATATCATTGTTTCTTTGTTCTTTCAGCAGTCAGAGTGTGCAGGTGCTTGTCAGTTCTAAATCCAGCACTGTAGGGTTCTTCATTTTCCTCATTCTGTTTTTGTATCTTTTCTCATAATGGGAACACTAGCTCTTAGCAACTTCAGTGTGTTTACTTATTTATTCAGCGTTACAGTGTATATATGTGTACAAAATTGTTTCAGAGTTTCTATACCTGACCACTGCAAATATCACAACCTCTGAGGAGTTTCAGATTTCTCTGTAGTTCTTTTTGGCTGTACATTGAAGATATGTGGTCAAATGACTATATTCAAAGTTATCTGGATTAATTTTTCTTTTTTTTTTCCTCCCATTCTGGGAGATTTATGTTATTCATTTGAAATACAGTTGGAGTCTTATATTTCTGTTTAGTCAGTATTTATTTTCACCTCAAATCCTTTTTGTGTTATTTTTGAGCCAGGCACGGTGACTCACGTGTATAATCCCAGCACTTCATGAGACAGAGGCAAGAGGATTGCCTGAGCCCAGGGATTCGAGACCAGCCTGGGCAACTTGGCGAGAACTTGTCTCTACAATGAATCAAAAAATTAGCCAGGTGTGGTGGTGTCTGCCTGTAGTTCCAGCTACTTGGAAGGTGGAAGAATTGTCTAAGCCCAGCAGGTTGAAACTGTAGTGACTGTGATCGTGTCACCGCACTCCAACCTAGTTTACAGTGAGACTCTGGCTCAAAAAAATTTTTGGAATATGTAAAACATTAACAAAGTCCTAAATGTTAAAACTGTTAAACCACAACAATAAAAGAGGTCTACTCACTCAGAGAAGGTCTGCTACCTCTTCTTTCCCGTCTATCCCACTCTCAGCTATTCTTGTAGTAACCAGCATCACTGATTTGTGACTAGCCTTTTAGTTTTTCTTTTTGCAAAAATAAGCATATTGATAACAAATACTTCTTTCTTATATAAATGGTGGTATAATATGCATGTATACTTTTAATTTGCTTTTTTTTTTTTTTTTTTGAGTTGGAGTCTCACTCTATCGCCCAGGCTGAAGTGCAGTGACATGCTCACCGTCATTCCAGCATCAACCTGCTGGGCTCTGGCGATTGCCTGAGTCCAAGGGTTCAAGACCAGCCTGGGCAACTTGGTAAGACCTTGTCTCTACAATAAAAAGTTAGCCGGACATGGTGGCATGCACCTGTAGTTCCAGCTACTTGGAAGGCGGAGGCAGAAGGATTACCTGAGCCCAGCAGGTCAAGGGTCGAGGCTGCAGTGGCCATGAACATGCCATTGCACTCCAGCCTGAGTGATGAAGTGAGACTCTGACTCAAAAAAAGAAAAGAAAAGAAACAGTTACTCAGTGAGTAACCTTGTGCCTATGTCCTTTTGTACTGTAGGAAGTATATCATCAAGGTAAATTCCTAAAATTAGGATTACAGGGTCAAAAGATAAATGTATACATAGTTTTCTTAGGTACTGTCCAGGTCCCCTCCATTGGATTTGCGCTCTTTTGCCTTCCCACCAACAATCTGCGGGTCTCCTAGCTTTAACCTTTTATAATCATATGAAAGTATTGTTCCTGATTTCTAGGAAATGATATGCTGCAAAGTTAGTGTGGAGGATGAAAGTGGAATGGAATCAGGGTGGTGCAGTGACAGAATTAAAAACTTGTGAAAGTTTTTAACATCCTTGCCTAATGAAAAGATTATCTATTTATATGAATTTATCTTGGATCATTTTCTTAGAAATAGGCTATTTTGGCCAGGCTCGGTAGCTCAGTCTGTAATCCCAGCACTTTGGGAAGCAGAGGCGAGTAGATTGCCTGAGCCCATGGGTTTGAGACCAGCCCGGGCAACTTGGCGAGACCTCGTCTCTACAATAAATAAAAAATTAGCTGGGCATGGTAGCATGCACCTGTAGTTCCGGCTACTTGGAAGGATCGCTGGAGCCAACAGATCGATGCTGGGGTGGCTGTGAGTGTGCCACTGCACTCCCACCTGGGTGACAGAGTGAGGGTCCAACTCAAAAAAAAAAAAGAGAAATAGGCTATTTTTTTCAGTAGTTGCCATGGTAAGTTAAAAGAGAAAAAAATAGAAATAGTCTATTTTTGCCTATTTTCTTTTTTTTTTTTTTGAGTTGGAGTCTCACTCTGTCGCCCAAACTGGAATGCAGTCGGCCACTGCGGCCTCGACCTGCTGGGCTCCAGTGATCCTTCCGCCTCAGCCTTCCGAAGTAGCCGGAATTACAGGCGCGTGCTACCACGCCCGGCCGATTTTTTGATTTATTGTAGAGATATGAGGTCTTGCCAAGTTGCCCAGGTGGGTCTCGAACCCGTGGGCTCAGGCAATCCACCCACCTCAGCCTCCCAAAGCGCGGGATTGCAGGCTGAGCCACCGAGCCCAGCCTGTTTTCTTAATAATTTGAATAGTGCAGGACTGTTCATGTTGTTTTCTTTGTACATTTAGGGCTTCTTGAATTCTTCTGAGCTTTCTGGACTTCCAGCTGGACCTGACAGAGAAGGGTCACTCAAGGATCAGTTGGCCTTAGCAATTGGTGAGTATTTGTAAGGACTGGACCTTTTGGTGTCTGGTGTTTCTCCAAATCTAGGTCAACAATGACAAGCTCATGTGCCCATAAGCATCAGATAATGTGGAGGTGAGAGGCAGTTTGGTGTCAGAGAGCGGTGGGCTTCCTGAAGAGCTCATACCCTGCAGGAGGGGCCTTTACTGAGCTCTTGCCAATTGTTATGTTGGGAGAATGGAGTCCTAGGGTCATCAGAATTTCTAAATTCCTTAAAAATTTTTTGATTTGTATGCAAATATCATGGTTTTTAGCTGTTTGCAACATGAAAGTTATTTTCATCACTGTGCCAACAAGACAAAGCATATCTATAGGCAAGAGATGGCCCCTTTGACTTCCAGTTGACTAGCTTTGTATATGCTATAGGGAAAGCAGTACATTAAAGATTGTTTCACCTTTATATAGGGTTCCAGGACAATTTAGGCACATCATTTTTAGGAATTTGGTCTCTCTTTTCAAAGATTCTAGTTGTGAATGTGTGAAGATAAATTCTTTTAGAGCCTACTGTCTGTGGGAACCACATCTGGATCATTGCGTGGGACTGGTGGGGATTTTGCTTTCTTCCTAAGTGTCCTTGAAGGAGAGAGGGTGATGGGGATGGGATTGGAGCTTGCTGAGAAATTACTGCTCATCTTAAATTTCCAGTTAAGGCATCAATTCTGTTTTTATCGGGTCATCTTATAGTATCTATGATGTTTCAGTGAGTCATGGATGAGAAATCAGACAACTGTGTAAGGGGTTTATTAAGAAATTCTGGAAGAACTGGGTGTTTCATCTGTCAGTTTCTGGGAATAAATTGGGTAGACGTTTTGAGTTATTTTGAAATTTGTTTTGGTTTCTGGATTCTCCCTTTTTGTGACTTTTAGATATAACTATGGCTAGTCCAGACACATTTACACAGACCCTTTTGTTTATTCCTACCTTTTGGCTTATTTAGACTTCTGTTAGAAGTGAAGAGCATTCTGAGAGAAAGTGGGAAATCGCAATCTGTTTTTGGTTCCCATAAATAACTCTGAAAATGGTATCTTTTCATTTTTGATGAGAGGAAGTTGAAACTATCAGATGACGGGGGTTTTGGATTTTCTGGGGCTTTTAGTTGCGGACTTTTTTCCTGATGCAAAGAGTAGTCAGGAGTTGTCTGTGTCACTTATGGTGGTATTTGGGAGGGATGGTAATTTGGTGGGGAAAAGCACTTAATTGCTTCGGAGTCAAGAGTTGAGTTTTAATTCCAGTTCTGCCATGTTTTTTTGGATTAATTACTTAAGTTCTGTAAGCCTAAAGTTTTTGTTTTTGTTTTTGAGTTGGAGTCTCACTCTTTCACCCAGGCTGAAGGTCAGTGGCACGCTCCCGGCCACTGCAGCCTCGACTGCTGAGCTCAGGCGATCCTTCCGCCTCAACCTTCCAAGTAGCTGGAACTATAGGCATGCACCACTACGCCTGGCTAATTTTTTGATTTATCGTAAAGATGAGGTCTCACCAAGTTGCCCAGGCTGGTCTTGAATCTGCGGGCTCAGGCAATCCTCTCACCTCGGCCTCCCAAACTGCTGGGATTATAGGCGTGAGCCACCGCTCCCATCCAGCCTGAGTTTAATGTAATAATAACAGCTAGCATTTGAGTGCTTGCTATGTGCCAAATACTATAGTAAGTGCTTTTGCATATATTGCTTATTTTTCCCAATAACTCTGAAAGGTATCATCTCCATTTTACAGATGAGGAATCTAAAGCTTGATCAATGAGTAAATGAGACACTTGCCCAAGGTCATATCACAGTAATTGACAGAACTGAGACCTGAGTCATGTGACACTGCAGCCTGTGTTTTTTTATTTTTATCTTTTTTTGAGTTGGAGTCTCACTCTGTCGCCCAGACTGGAGTGCAGTGGCCGCTCCCGGCCACCGCAGCCTTGACCTGCTGGGCTCCGGCGATCCTTCCGCCTCAGCCTTCCGAGTAGCCGGAATTACAGGTGTGCACTACCACGCCCGGCTGATTTTTTTATTTATTGTAGAGATGAGGTCTTGCTGCCCAGGCGGGTCTCGAACCCGCAGGCTCAGGCAATCCGCTCACCTCAGCCTCCCAAAGGCGCGGGATTACAGGCTGAGCCACTGAGACCGGCTGTAGCCTGTGTTTTTAACTCCAAGAGCACCTGGTGCATGGCGGGTGTCCATGAAGATCACTCTCCAGTTCCCCCACCCCCGCCTCTCCCCATACGCCTTTCTTCCTCTTTAAGCAGAAACTGAAAATGGTGTCTCTCCGTCTCCCTGCACATCCAGCGTAAATGGAGAGGGACTGTCTTCCAAACTTGGCCACTTCTGTGCATATTTTGATAACAAACATTCATCATTCTGGTGGTATGTGAGTTTTTGTTTTTGCTTTTTTTGTAGGGAAACTGGGAGAAAACATGACCCTTAAACGCGCTGCATGGGTGAAGGTGCCATCTGGGTTCTACGTTGGCTCTTACGTCCATGGCATCATGCACAGTCCCTCCCTGCACAACCTGGTGCTGGGGAAGTATGGGGCCCTGGTCATCTGTGAGACATTCGAGCAGAAAGCCAACCTGGAGGACCTCGGTCGCCGCCTCGGGCAGCACGTGGTGGGCATGGCCCCACTCTCTGTCGGCTCCCTGGACGATGGGCCTGGGGGAGAGGCAGAGACCAAGATGCTGTCCCAGCCATACTTGCTGGACCCCTCCATTACCTTGGGACAGTATGTACAGCCCCAGGGCGTGTCTGTGGTAGACTTCGTGCGCTTTGAATGTGGAGAAGGTGAAGAGCCAGCAGAGGCCGAGTAGGTTCCAGAGGCTTTGGCCCAGGAGGAATGTTTTTGGCTCTGGACATCATGAAAAAAGAAGTTATTTTCTAAGCCTCTTCAAACCTAGAATTTATTTTTTGTTTGAGTTTATAATAAAATTGTATGCGTCATGGGTAGTTACTAAATACAATCATTATATAATAAAAAGAGCAGAATTTTTTCCATGTTTGTATAATACCAGGTTTAGCTTTTTTGTGCATTAGGTGTGACAGGCTTTTAAAACAACAGGCAGGCCTTATGGACGTGTCGGGCAGTGGCTTGGAGAACAGGCAGCAGTAATTCCACATGGATGTACTGGGGTGTCCTTGAGACCTCTGACTCGCACGTTCTGTCTTTCTCCTTATGTGACTTAGCACTCTTAATCTGCTTTTGCTTTGTGACAGTTTAGGCTATGCTTCTACCCTGGAACTTCCCTGGTTACATTACTTCTGCCATATGATTTCATTGGAATTATTAATTCAAACAGAGAATTATCTGGGAAATGTGAGTTAATTTGTTGATGTCTGTAACATGCTTTGAAGCTGTCTGCAGTGGTGTACACACTGGTTCTGGCCATTTAGTGAAATTAATAACACGTG